CTATCACAATACAAAGAAAAGTCATCTCAGAACTCCTCTCCTTGATTTCTACCCCTAAAGCAAGCACTCAGCTCTTTGGGAATGTCTAAGGGTGTTTCTCCATCTCCAAAAAAAAAAACAAAAAAAAAACTTTAAACTCAACCTTAAGATGGGTCAGCCATCATAAATGGAGATGGTGAAGGGATAGAGAGGCGGCAAGAACCATTCAAATTCAGTTCATCATTGAACTCAACAAGAAAAAATTCTGTAACATTGCAAAATAATATTGATATATCAATAATGTTTAATATACGAATCTGAATAAATTAATGAACTGATTCATAACTATCTCGGATATTATATAATAAGAAAGTTTCTTAACCTCTCTACACCTAAGCTTCCTCATCTGTGAAAATAAAGGTAATAATAGAACCCTTATCTTGCAGTTGTTGGGATGATGCACTATAGCCTGGCTATAAAGTAAGCACTGTTTTCAGCAACAGTTAGCCATTATTAACATTTTCTAATGCTTATATTTTTGGCATATGCATTTTCATTCAATGCTCAAAAAGGAGAGGATTAGAGGGCCAATATTTATTAATCATTTCTTCCGTACCAGATGCTGTATACCACCCACAAGAACCCTAGGGCTCCACATATACCTTGGAGGGGGCCCTTTCGCCGGCCACCCGCCTCGGAGGGTTTCAGGCCAGGGCCTGGGGTGGCTCCTGTCCCTTCGGGGCTACGTCGGCAGCGCGGTCATATCACCTCGTTCGTTTCTCTCCTTCCCTCCCCACCGGCCTTGGCTCCCGGCTATGGACCAAGAAAGGAGGGCGCCGGGAACCAACTACTTCCTAAAACCCATGGGGCCCGACGCGCGCCTCAGCTGCGCCGGGAGCGCCGGGCAGCCCGACGGCGACGGTGTCGTAAAAGCGTCGCAAAGGCTTCCGCCCTTGGCGGCTCCCTGCCACCTGTATAAATGGAGCATGTTGAGGGTGTGAAAAGTAGTATAGAGGCAGAGGCAGCGCGGGTAGCGTTTAGTTCCTGGGTCTCCGTGTTGAAGCAGCTCTCCAGTGTCCCAGGCTGCTGAGATCTCACCGGCCGAGTCCCCGCGGCGCGGCCGCAGTGCCATGCTAGCTTCGCGCGTGGCGCGCGGTTCGTGGGGGGCCCTGTGCGGCGCCGCTTGGGCTAAGGGGACGCGGCCAGGCAAGGGGCGCACCTGTGGGGCCCTGCTGCCACCCGTGCCCTGCTGCTTGGGCTGCCTGGCCGAACGCTGGTGGCTGCGTCCGGCCGCGCTTGGCTTGCGGCTGCCTGGGGTCGGCCAGCGGAATCACTACTCGGGCGCGGGGAAGGCGACCCCCAGGCCAGCGGTCGGAGCGGGCGCCGCCGCCGAAGCCCCGGGCCCGGCTAGCGCCCCTAGCCTGGTACGTACCGACGAGGCGGCGGCGGGCCGGCCTTGAGCTGGGGTCGCCGGCCCTGGACTAGAATAACGTGCTCTGGGTGGTGCAGCTTGAATGCTTCCGTTGCCTAACTTTCAGACCGTCTGCTGAAAAGAAGTTACTGGCAGGTCATTCTGTCGGGGTGAATTTCAGAGTCACAAGCGGGGACCACCTACGGTCTCGGTGGTCAAGTTAGAAACCCTCTCTCATCCCCCTTCTATCTGCACCCGTTGGTGAAAGGGCCTCCACTACATACTGCTTTGGTAAAGGTAGACCTGGCTTGTTTTACTAAAAGCTTATTTTTAATTCTTCTGAAGCGAATCCCCAGTATTTAGGTCAAGTCTTTGGGAATCTTTAGAAAGGTATACCTGCCCTTCGGTTTGCTGGTGCAAATTTCGTTCACCATCATTTGACCTTTGGTAACTTTACACATTGTAGGGTGAAAGCTAATAAATAATTTAGGTCGTAATTAAAAGATCTTTTAATTTATAGAAAAAGATTTAAACTATTCTTGAGGTGACAGAGGGAAATATTTGTCCACTTACTTGTTGATATGTTGCCCAGACAGAAGACACCCAAGCATGAGTGTGGGAGAGCTTTTGATGTCATTGCAAGACTCATGCAATTATTACATCTTCAATTGTTATGTCTTCAGTGGCCCCTGTACTGCTTTCATCAGTTGTACAGCATGGGTTGAGGTGGCCAGATCCTGGCAGGGGTCTCAACTCCACTAATAGCTAAAGCATGTTGGGGTTTGAATGCTGGATACTTTGAAGTTGCCATATCCTGGCTGAAGTCCTTCCCAGAACGGCAGTAGTTGGTCGAGTATGCCACAGGTTATCTGGTTGAGTAATCTGAGATTAGCTCTCTTAATGTTAACTTTGAAAGGTTTACAGATTTAATGATTACAAATTAATGAGACACTTTAACTGAAATACTTAATGTGGAGCTAAAAAGAACTCCCTTTGCTATTCTAGCAACGTTCAGTTCTGTTTGTTAATTTGCCAAATGAAATGATGTTTCTCTTTACAACTTTGTCTTTAGTTTTGTCCTATGGATAATTTCTGAAGTTAATTGGGTGCTCTTTTTTCTGAACTTTTGCTTTGTTACTGCTTTTTCGCAACCATGTGCAACCTTCTCTCCTCCCCACTCTTCCCTGCTAGTTGCTCTAAACTTTGATCAGTGTTTGACTTATTCTGTACTATAGTATGGTCAACAGACTTATCTTTTTTCTCTGGACTCTGAAACACTCTGATTTTTGAACTTGAATTTGGGATGTATTCCAAGAATGTTTTTATTTCATTATATAATATGGATTACTTTCAGTAAAATACCTCATAGTAGAGGTTTGTATTGCTTCTAGTTTGTGATTGCTCTTCGGATAATTTGAAGTTTTCCTATAGCTTTCAATGACAGTATTCTGCCACTTAACCCCAGCAACAGCTATTTAATTATCCCTTCAAGCTGAGGTGCTTTCTTTCTGGGTTCCTTTTATAAACACAGACATAATATCTTTAGAGAATACCTTTTTTGTTTGTTTGTTTAACATGATAGTTCTTGGAATTTTAAAAGATGTCTTTAGAAATGGACTTTGCCACCTTTTTTACAATCAAAATTAACATTCAGGCGAGTTGGCTAGTACTGATTAAGAAAGAGGTTAAATGGGGTTCTAGTGAAGAGAAAGTCCCATGGGGTGGACTTAGCAGTCTTGACTCAGTGGAGAAAAAAAAATCTATGCTTCAGGGAGGGGCATTTTGTTGGTGTTATTTCGGTACCCTGTTGTGCGGGGTGTCTTAACTCTGCTGGGCTGAGGCTTTTCAAAGTTGAAATACCCTCTCACGAGTCAGATTCTGTTTGGCAAGGAAGGGATGTCCTTCATACAGCTACCAAAGGGCTCTTTTGTTAGTGCCAACTTCAAACAGCTTGGCCCCAAATGAAGTTTCAAGGAATCGCAAAGCCCCTGTATGGGAACTGTGAAAGCCCTTGGTTTTTAGTTGAGGTTGTTTACATTTCCATGACTGTTTTGAACAAATTTACAAAATTTCTCCATCCAAATATCACAATCCCTATTCCTATCTCCATTTGCATCCAGTAATTCTCTGACTTAATGATGAGATTATAGAATTAAATGTTTTTGTTCCCTTCATTCATACCTCCATACACTGTGTAGCATTTAGCATTCTTTAGCTATGTATAGGGGAGTGAGGGACATTCTTTGCAGTAAATATTTGAAGTTGAATGCCTGGTGTTAATAATTTGGCTTCTGTGACACTTTTACTTGTAAGTAGACACTATTTGTCTGCCTACAAGATCTTCCTGAAGTTTCACCTCTTTAAAAGCAGTGTTGAAAGTTCTGAGTTCTTACAATGAAATTATACGCTAAAGGCTTAGCTTATATGGCAGATATTACATGTTTTCTGTTTTCCCTCTTAAGAAAACCTATAATATATAAGATCTCTTAGTCTGTGTTTGGGTATGTGATGCATCTTCATTTTCTGTATTCTTTTTTTTTTTTCTTTTTTTAATTAAAAAAAATGAGATGGGGATCTCTCCATGTTTCCCAAGCTGGTCTCTAATTCCTGGGCTCAAAGGATCTGGCCGCTTCGGCCTCCTGAAGTGCTGGGATTATAGGCGTGAGCCACCACACCGAGCCATCTTCTGATTCTTGAAAGATTTTGGGAAGATATCTGTAAAAAGAACACAATAGATTTAAAAATTCAATTTAATGTATTAAAGTTTATGTAGCTTCTGACTCAGGCTGATGACTGATGAAGTATATTTTTCTAATGTATATAGTTATTCAAAGTATGAATTCATTGTATTTCATTTAAATATTGCTGTCTTTGTGTTTCAGTATGAAAACCCATGGACAATCCCAAATATGTTGTCAATGACGAGAATTGGCTTGGCTCCAGTTCTGGGCTATTTGATTATTGAAGAAGATTTTAATATTGCACTAGGAGTTTTTGCTTTAGCTGGGCTAACAGATTTGGTAAGTTGTAAATGCACTGCCATTTTGATCTCCTTCCAAATTCCCAGGTCTCTACTACTAAGTGAAATAGCACACCCTTAGCCTGCTTTTCTTTGGGAGGAAATCCTCAAGATGAATTAGACATAGTACTTTGTGTGAGGACTTTGTCTTTAGCATCTGTATGGGACTCAATTTTTTTTTTTTTTTTTGCATATGATCTCAGGGAGGAAGTGAAGGTTGTGGGGAAGTATAGGAGGGGATACTTTGTATTCTTGGTTTTTAAGAGTAAAAGAAACACCCTTAGAAATTCCCAAAGAGCTGAGTGCTTGCTTTAGGGGTAGGAATCAAGGAGAGGAGTTCTGAGATGACTTTTCTTTGTATTGTGATAG